AAATAATAAAAATCTACCATAATCTAAAGAGCCAGTTTTACTGTCAGGTAAATGTCATATTTTGAAAAAAGACAACTTTTAGATAAATATCTACAATAGGAAATTATTATTATAGTTATGAAAAATCCACCGTATTTTTCTACTTTTAGAATTTAAAATAAAGAAATATAAATTTTAACAAAAAGAGGAATAATGTCTTTGCATGCATTGGACAGAAAACAGATCTAAAATTACATTACTAGTAGTTTTAGTGTCATTCTTTGTGGAAATTAAATTAAATGCAAAACCCGAGTTAGTTATTATCTGGTCCTCTTTCATTTTTAATCATAGCTATTAATTTTTTACTGTGGAAAGCCCAAAGAGCCACTTGCAGACTTAACTTATCCTGCTGCACAAACTAACCCGAACTGGTAGAAAACACCCAGCAGTTCTGTCACCAGCATGGATTTTTCTTCAGGATTAAAAAGTCTGATTAAAGAAACGGGTCTCTCTTTTGTGTTTGTTTGCCAACACCCATGCGCTCCTCCTCCCTGCAGCAGAGCTTTATCTCTTGATTAAATCAGATTGTTTCTGTCAGAGGATTATCTCTCTGCTTTCGGCCGGCTCCAGGTCACTGAGAAATAATGGGGCTGTGGAAAGTCTTCACTTCCATCAAGGACCGAGCAGAAAGGTTTCTCAATGAGAAGAACGTGGTGACGGACGTTCTGGGGAAGCTGGAGGAGAAGACAGGAATCAAGAAGAAGGTCATCGCCCTCGGTAAACCAGAAACGGTTCAGTAATCTGCTCTGTTCAGCTGACGGTTCTGTATTACTGTTTGGCAGACGCAGCAAAACCGGAACCTGAACACGTCGAACCTGTAATGAGCACAGCAGGTTAGACGGTTTGAGATCCAGTGTTTCTGAACCGACTTCAGGAAGATACTCTACAGCTCAGACTGCTATTTGGGCTACATGCTAAATAAACATGCTAGGTGGATGCTTATTTTGGTACTGATCCGATACCAAGTATTGCTTATACTAATACTGGTACCAGCACTTTTTATTTATTTTACTGTAACATTAAACTTCTGACCTCTAGCAGTTTTCGTAGTTTTGTGGCAGGATGAAATTTGGAGAGTTTATAAATACTTTAATAACATATTAGCTTTATTTCTGTACATTTTTCCTAGATAAACAAACTGCAAAAAGAAATATATATCATTCAAGAGCAAATCAAAAGGTGGAGCTAAGAAACTGCAACACAAACATTTTTAGCTTCACCTCGTTCAAATGACCTTTTAATTCCCAATAATTAATCAGTTAAAAATAATAATTATACTGCACTGATGTTAAGTCAAGTAGAAAGATTCAGTTGTTCACATGTTGATGTTCAAAGTGTATCTAGCTGCTAATGATAAAGCACTAAAGGAATGATGTCATTGTATTTTAGGCAATAAAATGTTTCAGTGTCACGTTACAATAAGGCTCCCCTTATAGAAAGCTAATGAATGGTTAATAAATGTTAAGTCATCTATAAACACTTTATAAAACATTACTAACTGTTTATTATGCATTAAGTAACGGCAAGAAGGAGACTATGATAAAAAAAATACAATTGCTTATTGTGATTTCAATGTATCTGAAATGTTTAGTATAATAACGCTAGATTAAATATATAGATCTGGCTCATTATTTCACAAGAAACCAGTAGATTTAATCTCCTTCTCACCTTTAATTAATGCAAAATAAACTGTTATTAATGATTTAGAAAGTGTTTAGAGCTTAATAACATAGCTATGAAGTATTTATTAGCTAGAACCTTATTGTGAAGTTTTCCCAATGTTTATTTTAAAAAGAGCTGAATTGTTTATTTGCATATTTTTATGAATTTATAATATTGTATAAAAACGGCTGGAGTGGTTAATTGAAAAATCGGTTTAATATACCTTTTTAAAAACAAAAATCTGATTAATCGATCACTGAAATAATCGTAATCATCCTAATTGAAATTAAATGTGAAGCCGTTAGGGCAGTATTTCTGACACTGTGGTCCGCAGGCGCCCCCTGGTGGTCAGCAGGGTACTGCAGTCAAAGCTCGGCGCTTCAGCTACATTACCAAAGGATTGTGTTAAAAAAAAAACATGTCAACAGCTATCATTATTTTTATTTAATTAAACACGATTAAATACATTAGATAAATACAATTCACATTTTTCTGTTTATGTGCTTTTAAATTACAAATGGACCTAAAATGTTACTAATGCACAAAACATTTGGTAGTAAATATAATTTTTTTCTGTGTTTGACATCATTGGAAAGCTTAGAATCCAAACTTTCAGAATCTGTAAATAACTCAAAACGTACTGAGTTCATGACAATAAGAGAGTTAAGACGCTAATATTTCCACTTCAGGTTGGATTAAGATGTGTTATGGTGGGGTAATTTAAATTTAATTTAGTGTTTGTTAAATTAGTTAAAAGTTTGAGAAACACTGGACTAAAGAAATATTGTTTCATTCTAGGGATTAAAATGTTTCTTATTTAAAAGTTGAATTATTTATTTGCATCTTTTCATGAATTTCTAATGTTTAATAAAAAAACCCCGAAAATATAAACGGCTTTATATTTTCATTACTAAAATAACCGCAGTCCTAATTGAATTAAAAAGCCTTTAAGGCCGTGGAGGGAGACACCAGTTAGCAGCGGGCGGTGACGCGGTTATGACGTCACCGGTGCCTGGCGCTGACGCTCCGTTCGCTGACGCTCCGGGCGCCGCCGCTCCGGGCGCCGACGCTCAGATTATCCCGGCAGCAGAGCAGGACGGCCTCCATGACTGAACAGCAGCGCCAGCTGATCAGAGGTAGGAGGATTTATGCGGCGCTTCCCGCCGGGTGGGACGGAGTTTCTCCAACTGTTTCAGCCTCAGACTCACTTTATATTTAACAAAAAGTCACCAAACTAACATGAAATCAACCCGGGATTAAAATACTAATCTCTCACTTAATGTCCTTTGTTTTGTAAATGTGCAGTGTTGGGTAGTATACTTACATTTACTCAATTATCAAAATCAAACATGTTTTAACCAGAAATTCACCAGCAGTTTCTGTTAAAGTTTCATAACTTTTTTATTTAAAGAAACTGATGTGGAAAATGTTTATTTTGTCTGATTTTGTTATTGTTATACTTGATGCTCTTGAGTTCAAAGTTTACGTCCCGTTAGAAAAATTATCTTTCAAATAGGACACTTGTTTATTTTCGTATTATTGAGTTTGTCATTCGACTTTTCGCTCATATTATTCTGACTTTTTTTCTTATGGTATGACTTTTTGTTCTGTATATAAAATTATTCTTGCATTATTTCAACTTTATTTTCGTATTATTACGACTTTATTCTCCTATTACTACTTTACTCTGGTATTTTTCTATTACTTTTCATAATAATAATAATAATTATGACTTTGTCGCATGGCTTCATTCTCATGACTTTATTCCTGAACTATTAACATTTTTTTCTTGTATTGTGGTGACTATTTTCATAATGGGTTTATTTTCATGTTATCATAATAACTGAACTTTACTTTCTAATACTTTCTAACTTTACTATAACTTAAGGTTATATATAACTTTATTATGAAATTATGACTTGCCGTACAACTTTATTCTCTTATTATAGTTTATTCTGTTAATATGACTTTATTCTAGTACTACTACAACTTTCCTTGTATTATGAGTTTATTCTCATAATGAGTTTATTTTCATATTATTACCACTTTATTCTTATTTTGACTTACTGCAGTTCAGCTTGATTCCCTGAAAACGTCCTATTTGTTTTGTAATGTGTCTCCAGATGTCGCTGGCTGTGAATTGTTGTCATATGAACTGAATGTGTCTGTCCAGGCGCCGTCTCGCTGACTGGACTTTACCTGGTTTATGGATATGGAGCTTCGCTGCTCTGCAACCTGATCGGCTTCGTCTATCCAGCTTATTATTCGTGAGTTTTATTCCTCCTGTTTTCTGTTGATGCGCCAACAACATGTGGGAATGAAAGCATGTTTACTTTAAAGTTACATTCAGTGGAAGTGAGTCATATTAGCAGATTTATGTTTTAAAAACTAAATTTATCTTAGAATATTATAATAAAGGATCTTATGGCAGAGAACTTGAGCCAGGCTAAGAAAAAAAGTTTTATAATGAGAATAAAGTTATAATGTTTAGCAATAAGACAAGCTCAATCATTTTTATTTGCACGATTTTTCGTTTTTCTCTTTTCTCTCTTTCTACCAAAAACTGGATGATAAAAGTTTTCAGTCTGGTGTTTTGGTCTCAACTAGCCCTTATTCTGAAGGACAGTTTTGTTTACAAACTTCATCATTAATTTATTTGTTGCTTCTGCTTATTTATTTTGGATATTTAAAATAACTTTCAGTTCCAGTGTTAAATGTTCACAGACTCATAGCACAGTAGAAATAATATAAAAGTCGTTTTACAATAAAAATGTATGACAAAAAAGTTGAAATACTCCGATAAAGTTATAATATGAGAAGCAGAATAAAATATTACCAGAATAAAGCCGTACGATGAAAACTCGTAATATGACAACAAAGTCATAGTAGAAGAATAAAGCTGTAATAAAGTCAAAATAAAAAACAAAGCTGAAATAATAAGACAATAAAGTCAAAATAATATGAGAATAAAGTTGTAATACAAAAAGTAATATTAGTGATGAGAACAAAGTCGAAATAATATAAATTCAAAGTCGGTGCAACTATTCTCAGATCATTGCGACTTTATTGTTGTAATCTTATGTTATTCTCATATTATTACAACTGTTCTGGTAATATTGCTTTATTCATGTATTATTGCAACTTTATTCTCATATTATTTAAACTTTATTGATGTAAAACTTTATTCTCGTAGAGGAGGATACAACAGAAATAAACTTCAGTTATTCCTTTGAATGTACCATTATTAATGAGTCCGTGAATAAACGTTTCCTTTGCTCTGATCCCATTTATTCACTGCAGTTGGTTTTTCTAATAAACATCAACTGAACGTTTTTATCCGATAAAATCTGCGGGACTTGATAGAAAACGTCAAACATCATTTTTTGTCAATCAGAAACGGAAGTGGAAAGTTTTCTTCATTTTCTGCCTGTTGTTTCCAGTCTTGTCTCAGTTGGGACTTAAGTTCTGGTTTTCTGCAGAATCAAAGCCATCGAAAGTCCCTGCAAAGAAGACGACACAAAATGGCTGACCTACTGGGTGGTGTATGGCGTCTTCAGCCTGGGCGAGTTCTTCTCCGACATTTTCCTTTACTGGTTCCCGTTTTACTACGCATTTAAGGTGAGGACACACCAGAGTTTTCAAAAAACAAAGAATGTCATGAAATTGACTTGACGCCAGCCCCTAAACCTCCGACAAACGGCTATAATGGCAGAGGTAGAGGAACTCAATGCAATACCAGAAGCATTTCTGAGTTATTTTTGCCTTATCAGCCAACACTGAGGCAGGGAATTTCTCAGTCATACACCAGGATACTGGCAGGAAACAATGGAGAAATCAGCGTTAAAATCCAAGTTTTCCTCAGCCAAAGGAATAATGAGGAGCAGAAAATCTCATTGGATGTTAGCGTGAACGCTGCATCAGGTTAAATAATACCGGCTTGTGAAAATCTGCCTCCAGGAAATGCTTAAAAATCTACATTAGTATTAAAAGTTTCTTGAATGTAAAACCGCAGTTACTGCAGCACAAGTCTTCATGCTGCCACAGAGCATGATTGGTCTTTGATTTGACAGTCAATAAGTGTCGTTCTGACAAAAAACGGGATGCTAACTGCCAGGTTCCTTCGTGCTGACTAACATAGTAGTTGCCGTCGATCAGTTTCATTGGACAGGACACGAGGTCGTCTGCAGACCTTGATCCATTTATTCCGTTATTCCAGACTCCATTTGGGTTTTGGAAATGTAATAAATTGTATTCCACTCTCTAAGCGCTCTGGGTAATGGCTGCATGTTCCACATGGACCTTTCTTTCCTATTATTTTCCTTTAAATCTCTCTGACGACAGTGTTGGCAACAACGAACCCCAGCCACGTAGCCAGAGGTTCAGTTCCTCCAGATAAGGGTCATGTACTTAAATAGCAACCACCGATTGGTCAGTTTCTGACAAACCCACTGGAATGATTGGCCGGTGGCGTCGTGTCAGTTGCATCTTTTTGGGAATAAACGTAAGATTTAACAGTGTGGGAAATGGTTCTGGATGTTTTCCTGGTGTTTGTTTCCAGTGTTTGTTCCTGCTGTGGTGCATGGCTCCGATGTCGTGGAATGGCTCCCAGATCATTTACAACAAAGTGGTTCGGCCCGTCTTCCTCCGCCATGAGGCCACGGTGGACAACATGGTGAACGACCTGAGCGGGAAGGCCATGAGTGCCGCCGAGAACCTCACCAGAGAAGGTAACCCAGCACCAGTAGAAACCCAGTCGCTACTGTTTCAGGAAGCTAACACTTCTTCTTCTCCTTGAGTTTTATCCACTCTGGTGAAGAACAAAACCCTGGTGACACCAATGCCGCCGGTCGCCCCGCCTGAACCGAAGAGTTTACCGAGTTCAACCAGAGAAACGTCAAACGCTAAAGTTGCTCCAAGAGAGCCAAGCGAAGAAGAACGAAGGGTAAGAAAATGTGTTTCCTCACTTCCTTCCTCAGATCTAAACAGCTGCTATGGTGGAATGATGCTTCAGTGCAGGACAAGATGTTTAATATGGCGCATTATAGGGATGCTGTAGATAATTAAAAACAACTCAGAAATTTTAGGATTAATCTGAGAAATTTTCTAGAAAAGACCCGGACATTTCTGAGCTTGAAAAATTTTATATTTGCTAGAAAAACCTCAGAAGTTTTTAGGTTAATCTCAGAGATTTTCTACAAAGAAATTATTGGAAATTTCTGAGTTCAAAAGTCAAAGATGCTCAACTTTTGACATTTAAAACTGAACAAGTTTTTCCTGAAAAAGTTGAGTTTCAAGAAAAATTTTCAACTTTTCAAACATAGAAATTTATATATATATATATATATATATATATATATATATATATATTTTTTTTTTAAATTTTAGAGATTAATCTCAAAATTTTAGAGCTTTTTTCTAGCGAATTTCAGAGATTTTTTTTCCAATGGGCCTGGTGTCGTACATGTTTGTGGTTTGGGTTGGTAGATATGACTTCTGCAGGTTTTGGTACTGACAGTAGAACTGGTCAACCAACCTGTCAGACCGTTTATTGCGTGAATCTTCTAATCCCGACGTGTTTGTCGCTGTTCCAGCCTTTTCTTGGGTGACCAGATTGGTAAGTGAGCTGGTTGTTGGTAAAGATCCTGTATTGTGATAAAAAAAGAACTGGTTTAATAACGAGTAGCTTTCTTTTCTGTTAATGTCAAACTACACACTTCCTTCCTCCTCCTGAAAACATTTATTTCTCCTCTGTAGATCGTAACTCCAAATCCACCCAACTGGTCCTGTTGCTGTTTTTTATGATGAAATTGTTTAATTGGGCTTAAAATCTTTAAAAAGAAGTGGCTCGCATAATTATCCTTGAGGAATACCTTAAAAAAAAAGAATGTGGTTTGATTAAAATACATAAAAATATAAGCAAAGAAAAACATGACATTGTGATTAATGAGGTCTTATAAACAGGTTTCTACCAAATAATGAATCATCTCCTAATCACAGAGACATTAATATAACTTTAAAAGCTACAAATCAGTATTAACATGCATAATTTTTCTGTTTTTTACTCTTTAAGTTACAAATCAAAAAGGCATTTTTACAGCCTGTAGCTGTCATTAAGGCTCAGTCAGGTGGAAGTTAGATTCAACTGCTTTTTCTTAGACCAGATGCGTTTTTCATTTTTTTATAAAAAAAAAAAACTGATCTTATCCAGTACATTGAAAACTTACAGGTTAGCCAGAGCCAAAGCTAAATGAAACTAAAACATTGTGGCTTAAACTGAGATGAACCTTTTAGAGCCAGAATCTGAACCTGAACATATCTGTGAGCGTGAAAGTTTCTGGTCCTTCCTAAGCAAATAGTTTTTTATCACATAAGTGATTCTTATTTTTAATTTGTGTTCATGTGTTTTGCTATTTGGCTTCACTTCAGGAAGAACTTGGTGTAGACTGAGGGTAAGTTATCGCTCAACCCATTTCAGACACGCACTGCTTTAAATTGCAAATAAAAAGTCTACAGAAAGTCTCAGATTAAAGGCTCAATTTGGAGTTTGCACAATTATGGATATTTTTCTTGAACTTTATGTTTTTGCTCATCAAACCTAATGATTGAATTTAAATGGATTTAAATGTAACAAACAGATTTGATTTAACATGAGTAAAAACGAAAACATTTAGAAAAAATATTGTAATTACTGAAAGGAAAAAATTCAAACCAATCTGGCTGATATATGAAACTTTCTTATGCTCAAATAATCTGGTGATGCAATAAAATATTAAGATGTGACAATAATAAAATTAAAGTAAATCTGTAAGGGTGTGAATACTTTCTCAACAAGGTCTAAACTCTTTTTAATTGATAATTGATCTGACTTTTGAAACAACAAAGAAAGACTTAAAATTTAATTAGTAGTTTGTTTTATTATAATTATAATAATAATAATTATTATTATCCTGGTTTGGTTTCAAATTTGAATCTAATCATCCCAGGGTTAAATTCATAATTAAGTTTTACATCAATTACAAATGGTTTAATAATTCATTAATCAAATGTTGCGCAACAAACATCATCATTCATAAAATCACATTCAGTGGCATAAACCGAAAAAACAAGGATCGGCATCATAGGCATTTCATTGATTAGCATTTAAAAATACGTCAAACACACCCTAAAAATAAATAAACGGCAGTTTAGCTGAATTATTAAACTTAAAACATTAACTGAATATCAACTGAAATAAATACTAGTCCTATTTGAAGACGTTACATAATTTTATAGACAACGGTATTAAAAATAACCACATTCCACTATGGATTTCCGTTCGGCGAACGTGGAAATTATACAATAGACAAAACGGGACATAAAACCAAATCCTAGCGATAAAATTAACAATCTTCAACAAAGGATCCAAGCAACCTGAATGTCAAGCAACTCACCTTTGAATTTGACAGCTTCATATCAAGTTTTCATCAAGTTTTTGGATGTAAACCGACCGCAGACTGTTCTGTGCTATGCGCAGCTAGCGGTGACTTTAGGAACTACGCACTTTTTAAACAGCGCCCCCTGCAGGTTGGAGGAATGAACAGGTTACACAGATGCTTGGCGAACGTCCGCAGTTCCTTTCCTGGATTATTTGACATTTTTGAAAAGCCCTGTTCTAAAGTATTTAAAAATTTTACTTTCATGTTAGTAAAATAGAAAAACCTCCTTTAGGTAACGGTAGTTTAGAAAGCAGCAACATGCTTATATCGCCTGTTTTCCCTCAAGTAGTAAACATTTGATGTTAGTAGAAACATTTTTAAAAATCCACAAAATAACTAAAAATTTCTTGTTTGTGTTTCACAGTTGTTCAGATAGCAGCAGAGGAAGACGAAGATGCTCCGCGAGGAAGAGGAGCAGAGATGTTTTTGTCCTGAATGATCCAAACAGAAAGTGCTCCTTATGTCACAGAGACTCGGTTGTAAGGCCATATTTTTGTAGAACGGTGTTGTATTTAATCTGAATTTATGATTTAGAGATCATTTATTGTCTTTAGAAAATCAGACAGACACTGGAAGCTGCTGTCTGATCTATGAGCTAAATGTCAAAACAAGTTCAGGAAAAATAAAAAATAAAATCCTATGACTGGAGGTTCCACTTTATCAACAGTTCAGATTAGAGAACTGAATCTCTAAAAATGAACCAGTTCACTTTGAACTTCTGTTTGTTATTTGCTTCTGGTCCGCAATGTGAACATTTTAAACAGAACACCGGTCCAAAAAGCCCCAGACCTCCATTTCTCCGCAACAGCGCCATCTACTGGTGGGTAGAAGAAGATCAACCCGGTCACATCTGCACTGGTGATTGATAGAAAACATAAATGGTAACTTCTGCCAACACGACACAGAAATACAGAAATATTTCTGGACACGTTTATTGTTCAGGTGCAGCAGGAAAAGATGGCGGACGGGGAAACATTGAACATTTATGAACACAGGAATAATTCAGTTTGATCAGATGAGTCTCTGCAAATGAATACATGTTGAAATGCAAACATTTTGTTCAACTGGAAACCTTAATAATCCACTTTCATAACCAAATGTCAGAGTTGAAATCTTGTCTTGTTTCCTTTTTCTCAAATTAGACGAAAAAAAAGTTCAGTTTCACTCTGAGTGAAATAAAATAATTTGTGATTGATGCTTTAAATAAATGAGGATGAACATCTACACATGAGAAAAGTTAGGGTAGTTGAATATTATTTATTTTCATCATCTGTTTTATTATTTTTTTGCTTTAATATTTATGTTTTTGTAAAGACACCCACAAAAACATCCCAAGAGGTTATCCTTGAAATAAATTAAATAAAAATGAAATAAATGGGCACTGCTTTATGTTTTACATTTATTTACAAAAACATAGAGAATAAAGTTCTGCACAAACATAAAAAAACTAATATTGAAAAAACTAATTAATATTTTGATTTTTTTCAAATTTTTAGACTTTCCACTCTGATCTTTCTTTCTGCACATTTTCTCATTTATTTTCACGCTCAAACTGCTGACTTTAGATCGCAACACTTTTCCATTCAGGGACCATGAAGCGGTATTACAGGTGAGGTCAAAGGTCAGCCATCACTGTCTATCTGGGTTTCCAGTAGCAAAGTTCAGTTAAAGAGAAGAAGAAGCGGCATCTCTTTGGGATGTGGTCAGTCAGCAGACTTGACCTTTGACCTCCTCCATCGTCCTGTCCAGCTGTTCCCCAGCCGTCTGCAGCGCCTCCCTCTGCTCCTGCAGCTGACCCAGCGCCTCCTCCAGCCGGCCGTTCAGATCCAAATAGCGGCGGCTCTGCTGGAACCGCAGCTCCGCCTCGCTGTCCGCCGGCCGGGACGAAGCTAAACACAGAAGGTCCAAACGTCTGGTCAGCGGGTCGGATCCAAACACACACAGGACTTTTGTTCTGTTAATAAAGTGCATGTTCTAAATATATGTGACATACTTATGAGCATGTCACAATTAAGTATAAATCATTATCACAAGATTTAAAGCAATAGTTAAAAGTATAAAAGTTGTAATTATGAGCATTAAAATTGAGCTTTAAAGTCATAATTACAAGATACGCAGTTAGAAATTTTAACTTTCATATCTTAAAGTTATGACTTTTATTCTCAGAATTATTAGTTCAAAACTGTCTTCCCTTTATATGGCGGATAAATCCAGTTTTCTTTTCTGTAGAGTGAAATCCTCTTTTATTTATCCTGTCTGATTGGGGAGTTAATGATGTTGGATTTCTTCAGAAGCAAAAGCAAAACAATCGTGTTGTTGCAGAAATGTTTAAAAAATACTTCTGAATTTGATACATATCCTCTAATGTCTCTTAAAAGGTCCTGTTTAATTAAAAAAATAAATGTTTTCAGAGGGGAATAATGGTGCAGGTGATGAGAATATGAACCAGCTTGTCTCCGGTGCGGACTCACCCTGCTCAGTTTTCTCCAGGATGCTAAAAACCGGGTCATCAGGAGCAGCTTTGTTGATGTCCTCCTGCAGCTGATCCACAGTGGGGAGCTCGGGTCGGCTGGGCAGAACCACCCGTTTCTTAGTTTTAGAGCCAATATTCATTTCCACAAGCAATGCTACACTTTCTCCATCTGAAACACTAAAGGAATAAATAAGTTAGAAAACAGAGCAGTGCCTCCAGCTCCATATATTGTATTTTTTTCTTGATGCCTGAAAACATTTATTCTGCAGAATAAAGGAGTCTGAACAATTTTGAAAGTGTTAAAGTAATTATTTACATCAAATAGATCCAATATTCTAGATCTTTATAAGTCAGAGTCTGCTAAACAAAAATCTATCCAGGGAAACATATTACCCCTGCAGCAATATATAACCTCTTTAAACCAGTAAAACACGAAATCTATACAAGCTAAAAAGATAAATATTCAGCCGAATGATTTACAACGAAGTAAAATGTATTGTAAAATACTTTGGGTGTCTTTAATTAACGCTACTTTAGGTTACAACAAATTATAGCTTAATTCTGCAAATAATTGATTGAGGTTCTGGTTTACGTTGTAAATGTTATGTTTTTCAGAGCTTACCGAGGTTTACGTGTCTTGTGAAAACTTTTCGATTCGTTTTGGGTCTGGCTCACTCCGTCAGCGGCGTATTTTTCCCACTTTCATATACAGAAAAACGAGCCGAGTCCGGAGAAAAATACATCAACACAAGTTAGCAACCACGACACCGGAAACCAAGGGTAAGCAGGCGTGCGTCATGGCGTCACACGCCACGTCAGCGTAACAATGACGACGGTCATCAAGAAGGTGAGGATGTCTGACATGTCAGAAACCCGATTAAAGCACAAGAGAAAAAAAACAACTACATATTTTTCTATTCAAGAACACCGGTTTACTTAAAAGAATACAGATTTTATCTGTTTGTTTTTGAGCCCGTTATCTTGATTCACACTCCTTACTGGCTTTTGGCGGGTAATGACCCATTTTGTTTTTGGCCAACCGCCATTAAAATATTCTTGAAGTTCTCTTCTGATTTTTTTCAAATAATAGATCACTTCGCACCAATAGCTTTGCTTCTTTAAGACATTTCTTTGCACTGATTAGGCATAACATAATGACCATTGACAGGTGTAGTAAAATATGATCTTTTTATCTTGGCAGCTGTTAATAGGTGGGATATTAACATTAGACAATGTGATGACTAGATGACTGGGTCAGAGCATCTTCAAAACTGTAGCATTTGTAGGGTGATCCTGGTCTTCTCTGGTCAGCATCTTTTGGTACAAGAAAGCCAGTAGTATCATATTGATACTTTTAAAATAAAGACAATGCAGCAGTTTAAGGAATCACATCACTTTTTATTGGAATGAAGACATTTATAACAACACGCTTCTGTTATTTTGCATGTTTAACATGGCACTGTGATGCTTCTGAGACCCAGTTCAGGTGAAGACCGAGAAATTTAATGCAGCTCAGCCACAAACTGGTCTATGGCCAGGTGTGAACGAGACGGTCAGAAGAACCCAAACAGAGTTGATTCTCCAGCCTTTATTGTCTTCTCAATGCTGGCTGCTTAGCTGCAGCTGGTGAATTTAACTCTGAAGTCTACAGCTACGTGAATTTTGGTTGCTTGGAAATTACTTCAGATTTTGAGGATTTTTCTGTTGGCCTGAAATTAAGCAATAGCAGAAGCCAGATTTGTGTTCCTAAAATTGCTAAGGCAACCAATCTTACTATCGGGAAATTGTTTAAAATATACGCTAAAACAACTGAATATCTTGGGTTTCATGCCTTTCCAATCTGCAGAAGATATTTAGTTTATAAACCTGCAAATGAAGGGCAGGCAACAGATTATTCTTATACAGAACTAGACTTGTGTGCGCTGTTTTGCCTGTGATGTTAGAATAATAATTGTAATGCAGACATTCTTACTTCTTTTTTCTACAATTTTGTTTCTAGAAACGCTGACTTTTGACACTGATAAGATAGGATTTAAGAATAACAAAACCTGTAGGTCTTTAAAGGTCTGTTGGGGATAAAAGTAGGAGGTTACACGGCCTTTTTAATTAATGCTACAGAAGTACAACATGGTGGTTTTGTTATAACAGCCCCTTAATGTAGATTAACTCCATCGACCTCTTCAAGCACACATGAAAGAGGAAAAGTACAACTACAGAGAATATTCATTGTCTTTATAATCTTCACACCTATCGCTACTTTTACAGCAACACATTTAAGCAGATATTAACATGTACAGAGTTGCAGAAAAGAACTCCAGTGAAGACCACCAAAAGACCTGCAGCAGGTACAAAGTTAGACCATAGCAAAGTCAGCAGCCGTTATATGATGTACTTGTAGCTTAAGTGTCCTAAACTGTGGAAGATTTTGTACGTTTCAGCCTCAGAATACAAATTGGCAGCTAATTGTGATGCAAGTTGATGTGAGTCTGACGTCCACTTTACACAACATCAGGACAGTAAAACGCAAATACTTTGTTACATTTCGGCTTTTTGTTGACATAGTGGTTTTGTTATAACAGCCCCTTAATGTAGATTAACTCCATCGACCTCTTCAAGCACACATGAAAGAGGAAAAGTATTAGTTGTAGTTCTAATACAGTGGAATGGTAACAGCGTTTTGGAAAGACAAAAATGCATAGGTCTGACAACGGAAACTTTTTTGAAACAACGCTAATCATGTCCGCATAAACACAAACTGAAAACATTTGGAAACGATTACGTCAGTCACATTATTTTGCGCTTTCACCCAGAATTTTACCCATGCACAACACAAAGAATGTAGGAGAGTGTATTTCACTGTTTCATTAGCCTTAGCAATCTGGTCATGGCAACGTCAAGGCTAGGGAGAGTGTCGGCCAGTGAATCCTTTGCTAGCTGTAGCATTAATATGCTAATATTGATGGAAATGTTTTTAGTCTGTGGAATGTGTAATACTGTGGAATGTGCGCCCAAACTGGCAAGTCATTAGTGTTGGTATGCTAACCATAAGCCTATTTATGGCAATGCTTAGCCTTCAGAGTGTGTAGTAAGTGAGACATTAGCCTAAATATGCTAGTTACTAGCATTGCTGTGCTAACTGAAAGCCTATTTATGGCAATGTCCATCCTAGGGAACATATAGTCCAATGAGTCATTAGCCTAAATATGCTAGCTCAGAGGTCTCCAACCCTAGTCCTTTGGGAGATTTTGGATGAATCCCTGGTGCAACACAAGGGATTCAAATAATTGAATTACTTCAATTCAATTCAATTCAAACATGCCATCAAGTTTGGAAAAGGTCTGGTAGTGAGCCATTCATTTGATCCAGGTGTGTTTGAGCAGACTTCCATCTAAAACCTGCAGGACAGTAGCTCTTGAGGACTTGGGTTGGAGAACCCTGAAGTAGAATACTTAAGCTTCTGCATTGATGCACTGCAGAGTGAGATGGAGAACAGGCACAAGGGAAAGAGCTCAGCAGAGTATACGCACAGTGGTTATTTGATATACAAACATGATTTCATTTGTGTTATCTCAATTTCTCGAAAGCAGTATTTCAAGAGGGGGTAGTCATTTGACTTCAGAGGCTGGTGACTAAAAAAGGCAAATTAAATGTCTGATATTGTCCAACCTAAGAGGTTTCTGCTTACTGTTCAGTCTTAACTTTGTACCTTCTCCTGTGCTTAAAGCCAAACCACCACTGATAACATATTCTTGACTCACTCAATAGCAAACAGTACCTGAATATCAGCAAAATCAAACATCCCAATGCATTAACAGATGCATGTGGCTGCGTTGTTCACCAATTCACAGTTTGCATTGTTACACATTTTTGTGTCACAAAAACACAGATGGCATTGGACTGAAAAATCCTTCCTTTTGAATTACATCATGGCATTATTCAGTACCAACAATGTCTACATCTGTGTGTACACAGTGAATATATGAGCATGCTGTCAGCAGTTAACACTCACCAGAGGGTTTCTGTATACCTGATGTGTTATGTACAATACTAATTCAGAAAGAGGACTGAAGAATGCGACAGAAACCGATACTACTGTTGGAGCATTGAGAACATTTGTGGTAGGAAACTAATTTGAATAAAAATGGCCATCTTCCAAGTCCAGTCTAAGCAGAAATAATGAGATGTGCATTGGCTACTCTACGTCATGCTACTGAAATCAGAATTCAGATTTTGGAGTTTCAGGGTTAATTGTTGATCCCAGCAGCAATGTGACTTTGAAATGACTGGTAAATACAGCTATTGTGCAATACAAAGACATAAGGTCAATGTACGCCAATACTGCTAAAGCAACTCTTTGTATTTATAAGGCCAGCACCTATTCTAAAATATTAGGGCAAAAGCTATTTTTTAACAGATTTTGTTATACCTCAAAAACAGAAGTTGTAATTGTTCGTCAATCAGCTTTGAACCTGTCACAATGCACTATGCCTCCTTTTATAAAGTTTATATTGTTTCTAAAAACCATGGCAATGTTAAGTCGCCTGCATACAAGGTTGATTCCACAAATTAATAAGACAAGAATAGCATTGTAATATCCACCTGTATACAGCTTGCATACAAATAGAAGTAGTGATACATTTATTTGAAGAAATGTCTCATCACAAATGACTTCCATAAGTCTAATGGTCTTGAAGCATCTTTGTTGCTTCAAGACCGAGCAGTTTCTTGAAAATGTTGCATAATGTTGTTCAATTCAATTGTTTCCAAGAGACAGTTTGTGATTGATGTGCTGGGATACAGTTAATTGTCTTTTATGCTTTGACTACATTTCTACCAGGCAATGATTAATCTACAAATACAAAAAAGTATAAAAAGATGCAATATCCTGGATAGATGTTCTCTGAAGGGCATCACGAAGTTTTTGGTGGTCAAATCGGGCCACTCTGTCTCCATGCATACATCCAACTTTTTAGCAATGACAAATGGAAGATCTGATCAGTTGTTCAGAGAGAAAACTTTGAAGGGAATGAATGGGATAGGAGAAAGCGTCAATATTCGAGGTATAGGACTAGCACACTTGTGTCCATATAGGGTGCTGAGTTTAAGTCTGCAGTCATTCATTGATTGGTATCCACCAAATACTCTACAGCTCAATTTTCCCCCCAGCCTTTTCAGTCATTGTTGCTGTCTGGCTTTGCGGGTCTTCCAGGCAGCAGGCCATGGGGCTGGGGGTGTAATTAAATGGAGTGACTCTGGCAGCCTTGCTCCGGGATCCCTGGCGGAAAGTGACAACTCCACCAACATGGCTGTCTGATGTTCCGGTAGTACTGAGGCTCTTCAGTGAGCCATCTGAATCTGCATCCTGATGGCTACTCCCAGAGGCAGCAGTAAATTTTCTAAGGAGAGCCAGTCTGGCCTCTTCCTCAGAGATCACTGGAGCTGTTTCAGCTGTTGGAGAAGTACTTGAGTTAGTCTTGTCATTGGATAAATCTTCTGTCTGGACTGTTGCGTCTGTTGTCTTGCGAGATGCAAGTACTATTGTTGGCAGTTTTCCTGGTAGCGCGGGTAATTTTGGTTTTTCCCCATCAGGAGAAGGCACCAGTGGTAACGCATTGGCGGGCAGCGTGCTTTTCAATATCTGAGGTACATCTTCATCCCTGATTCTCCTCCAAGTAACTCCAGTATTACGCCGTGATGTGGATCTCTGCCCTTTCTTCTTTGTGTCATCCTCGCTTTTTGCTCTTCCACTTGAATCAGAGGACGATGAACGTAGTGAAGAACGGCTGGTAACACGACTCAGTATATTTATGCTTGGTGATGAAGCATGGCGCTTAAAGGTATCTTGTTCTTGTTGGTGCCTGACCCCAGCGATTCTGCCGGTTGCACTTCGCTGGGCTACCCTGCAAGGACTTTCTGAACTTGTTCTACGAGCTGGACGTCTTGCAGATAGATCTCTTTCGCTCGATGTTGCTCTTGACAAAGTTGTGGTCTGCTTCTGGAGGCCAGGGATGGGCTTTTGGACTTGCTGAACTTTTCCAGGATCTTTTACCTGCACCCTTTTTGGGGCTTGCACTGCTAGCTTTAGCTCCTGGCAGCGTGATGAGCACAGGAAGACAGCTGAAGCTCCAGGAGCTGCCCTTCGAGGGGATCCATTTTGTGATCTTGGTGTATTGTGAGGAGAGCCATCACGTCTAAATGGTGTCCTTGATTCCTTAATAAAAGTCAGCTGCCTCAGGAATCCATTTCGATCGGATTCACCACTGCTTGAATGGACAGACGTCATCCTAACCATGTCAAATCGATTGGCTGGTGACACTCTTTTCCCGTTAATCTGATGACTTTGTTTGGGTGAAGTTTGGTTAGTTACCAGTGGTGACAAAGGTCGGGGCTGCCGGGTTGAATTCTGCATAAAAGGTATCCGGACAGGTGACTTCTGAGTTTTTGGTGGGGGAGATTTCTCATTTTTATTAAGAACGGGAGAACGTCCTTTTCTTTCAGGGGGGCTACTGGCTGGTGAGCTGCTACTTGACGAGGTAGTCTTTTTCTGGATTGGTTTACTTGTCTGAGTTGGGGACACTGTTTTCTTTTGTGACTGCTTGGATGGTGTGGAGCTCTGTGATGATCCAGAGGATGAGCTTTTTGGTATCCTTGGAGGTGGAGTAGAGCTCCTTTTCGGAAGAGACAGTTCCACGTCCTGGGGCTGGCCGAGTCTGTGGAGACTCTTTGACCTGTGTTGGGCAAGGTTTGGATTCTTTGGAGCATCTGTCTTGCTTGGCATTTTTCTGGGAGGAGGTCTCTGTGATGGAGCCGTCGCTTGCTGTGGTGTATAGATCACTGTCCTGCCTCTAAACACAACTGGTAAGTTGGGAACTGGCTTGCGTTGTGCAAAGTCTAAAGGCTTATTAGCCTTTTTATCTTTTGCAAATTTCTTTTCTTTAGGTGTAAAGCTAGATGTAGACATGAAAGACAGAATTGACTCTGTCTCTTCAGATGATGGCTCTTGAGATTTTGAGGCTTGCAGTCCAGTGACAACACAGTTAGCTCCTTCCTGTATTGCTCTCCACTCAACACTGTTGAGGTCTGAATCGTTATCCCATCCCGTATCGTCACTATCCATTTCTTCATCCATGTCCCATCTGTCAGAGTCCTTTTGTTTATGAGTAGTTTCAGTTTTTTTCTTCCTGGCAGCCATTTTTCGCCTCTGCTTGGGCATGGCAGATGTTATGCACTTCTGGAGGAGGTCATCCTCTGAGTCCATGCTCACTGAGCTCGGTGAGCTTTGTTCTTCATACTGACAGTGCAAAGTAACAGCCTTTGTCTGCTGTGCCATATTGAGGGTTTTATTGTGTCTGTTTTTGTACCACATTTGCTGTGCTTTTGCTTTATGTTCCTCAAATTCAGCATCACTGAGTGAACTGACGGAGGAGCTGAGTGAGTAACATGCCAGGGATTCATCCCGTAAAAGATTTTGTTTTAATCTCAGAAATCCTCTGGGCTTTCCTTGGGAGTTATCTATCCTGCCTATGTTTGTCATGCTTCGGGAGAGAGTGCTTCTAGCTGCCTCCTTCATCTGTTTTCTGCTGGTTCGTTTGATTACTTCTTCATTGTTGTCACCATAGAAATCGATACTATCCTCTGAAGAATGTGTCATTTGTCGAAACATTTTGTTTTCTTTCTGTGTTCTGGAGTTGACGTTACTTTCTTTGTTTTGTTTTATAACTGGCAGGTCAAACTTCCTGTAGGATCCTTGACCTTGTTGCCTCCTCTGTTGATTTGGAGATCGCTCGCGATTTTTTAGGCTAGCTACTCGGTCAGCTACCTCTTTGCTCTGCATTAGCAACTTCTGAGTGGGAATGACATGTTTGGTGGTTCGGCTCATTTGGATCTCCGGTGGGTAGGCTGCCCCATGTGGTTTGTGGAAGTGTGAAAATATCCGCAAGTCTTCAATCCTCTTTGCATCATTGTCCATCACTTCCTGTTTGCTCAAGCCTTTAGCTGTGCAGTCTTTAGCCCCCCTGTTCTTTAGTGGATACTGAAGAGTTTCATCACTTAAAGATGTTGTACTAGAGAAGTTAACAGGTGTTCCCTCTGCAGAATCAGTGAAGGAAGAATCGTCCAACTTCAAGTCTTTTTGTGGGTATATATTTCTCCTTCTAGGACAGATTTGGGTTTTTCCATTTGGAAGCATGTTAAATTGTAGTTGCATTGGTTTTCGGATCTGGGAGTTGAGTACGTTGGAGGGAATGGCAGTCACCAGGGTTGATCTTACTTTTCTAAACTTTGATGGCATTGCTGAGTTGATGCATTCCTTCAGAATTTCTATGTCTTCTTCTGAGTTTCCCTCGCTGTATCGTTCCCCATTGTCAAATCCTTCCTCATCTTCGTCGGGGTATGGGAGATTCTCGTCATTTTGCTGGAGTAGTGGGGTTAATTTTAACTCCACATCTTTCTGGATGTAGTGCTCATGCAGAGGCAAAGCACTTAAGCTGGAAGCACAAGAGAAATTTTCTGTGGGTTTCTCAACTGTAAAATATATCATGGTTTCCAGGTCGGGAAGGTTAAACCTCTCCTTGGAATCTGTGATCTCTATGAACTTCCGCAGGCTGTTTTCCCACTGTCCTGGCATCCCTGTGGTCTGTGTCTCTGGTACATTCGACTCGACACAACAGGGGGTTTTACTGCGACTAGGAGGCATAGTTTGTCCTGGGCTGTCTGGAAGATCACTGGGGCTTATTGTTCCATCAATCATCTCACTGCATGGATCACTTTGGATTGAACTGGCAATAGAAGGAGACTCAAAACTGCCCAGTGAACTCACAGAGCTACAGCGGCTTAGGACTAGGGGTGTATCATGGATATAGTTCTCAGAGGAGCTTGATGGAGATCTGTCTTCATTTATAGCAGGTGAAGCGCCCCTAAGGAACACCTTTTCCTTTTTGGGAGTACGAGATATCTCAATGGGATCTTTCTCTTTGATGGGGAGGGTTTTTGAGTCTGTCATCAGCAGCTGACTGTCGCTCAGATCCTCTAAAGTTTCATCTTCTTGCTCTTTCTTCACTTCTTCGCCATCATCCACCTCAATTATCTCTAAAGATGAGTCACTCTCCAGCTCATTCTCACTCTGTCCGTCTAGCCCGCCGTCACCAGAAGAGAGTGAGGACAGTGAACTGCATCGTGAGAAGCAGATTGGAGTGTTTTCCACGGAGTATTTCTGGACCGTTTCCATCGTCCCCACTGTTGGACTTCTGGTGGAATTCATTGGAGCAAATTTTGTAATACTTCCACCAGTCAGTACAGTGGGTACCCATGCTTGCCTCCTCATCGCTTGGGCGGCCTGAACATTGATGGCCGTCTTTGCGACTCCAAATTTTGCCACACTCTGGATGAGTGGGACCTGTTGATAACTAGGAGAAAGTTTGATCGATGTCATGCTTACATCAGAGGATATTTTAGTGGACACACTGACAGGTGTTTGTACTGGTTGTTCTTGGTTCTTGTCGATGTCTGTGTTGCCGAGCTCCACATTGTCCATAACTTTATTATCCACAGAATCTCTCTCTGGAATATCCTGCTGGTTAGTCTGATTCAGGACGCTCTGTCCTACATTGAGATGTTCCTGATGAGCCACTTTGAGGTCAAGCTGGTTGGGTCGTTGTTGTTGGATTGCTAGAGCCTTTGGAACAGGCCGCACCTGGTCTTTGCTACCGCAGTATCCATCACTGGTGCTGCCACTGTTCAGGCTGTCTGTTGACACACTTGTGTGGGCAGTTTTGAGACGTAGAAGGGCATGGGCTCTGCTGAGGCGTTCTCTGTAGGCTAAGCTGCTCACATCGGACAGCCGGCAGGGGGAGCATGAATTTGCTCGGGCTTCGTTAAGCTCATCCTGTCCATAAGGCCAGTCTGCCAGGTGGTCCTCAGAGCTGAGGCTAAAACTGTCCTCAGAGGAAGTGTGCATGGTGATGTCATCCACGAGTCTGTCAATTTTTGCCACTGTGTTGGTAATCTTCTTTGCTAGTTTCTCTGCTGCAGCAGAGACCACGTCATCAGGAGGAGCATGTTTCTTCTCAACCATCTGAGGCAAGTCTATATCTCTCTCAGGTTCATTATCCCTCCTATGGGGCTGATTTTGAACAAAGTTGGAGTTGGTGAGATACACTGGCAGCAAAGAGAAGCTACCAGTGTCCAAACTGTTGGAGTTATTGGGGGCTTCATCATCATCAAAGCAACCAGAATCAGAGGCATAATCCTTCGCCAGACTTTCAATGTGCCTAAGAGGTTTGTTGAAGCTCAAATGCTTGGAACTCTGTTTCTCAAGAGTATCAAAGGTCTCAGCGAGGTGTTTGGCATTCAGCTCAGCCTCAAAAGCTTTCTGTTTCCTCATATAGAGGGAGGGCACGCAAGAGCCAGGGGATAGCACTGCAGTGTCTTTGTATTTCAAAGGTCGATTGGTGAGGAGGTTCCTCAAAGCTGCAGCGCTGCCCATGGCGATCATCTTGTGCTTAGAGTGGATGAGGTTGCGCAGCATGCTAACCGCCCCAAGATCCCACAGCAGCTCCTGGTCTTTGGGACTCCTGGCTGAAAGGTTCCAGAGAGTCCCGCAGGCATTGCTCACTATGGTCAAGCTGTGAGAGCGCAGGTGCGCCAGAAGAGTCTGGAGACAGTTGTGGTCCCGCAGGATTTGCCTACACAGGAAAAAAAAAATAGACTTACTTAAGCTTATATTTTTATGGATACTGAAGGGAACTATAGCATAAAATGTTTTTACTGTATCGGAACACAGAACTTCACCCACCTGTAGTCCTCTCGTGTGGCGATCAGACTCGACACATTTCGGAGAATTCCCCCTCCACTTTCGATGATGGCGAGCGAGTTGGTCTGACAGCGGTATGTCAGCGTGCTGACCAGGAAACCCAGAGATCCGTCGACGGAACAGATCGCCACTTTGTTATCAATGTTGTGGGCTGACAGGTTCCACAAAGCACTGAGGACACTCTTCAGAGTTGACTCCTGTAGAGAAGCATATTTTTCTCAACACAAGAGCAGGAAACTTCAGTAAATGTTAAACCCTTAGCTCCATTTTCTACAGACCAAGTTTCCATTTCAATACCTGTATTTCACCAGTTTAGTTTTCTGTACCTTGGTTGCCTGCAGGGCACAGGTCATGAGTGCAGACACACAGCTGATGTCTCTCAGAACTCTCTTGGTGCTGATGTCGGCCCTCCAGGACAGGTTCCTCATGACGCTGGAGACCACCTGATGAAGCTCCTCGCTGTCTGAGGACAGCTGGGCCACCAGAGCCTGGAGGCAGCTCTTCCTCGAACACAGGGTGGCCTGCAGGAGGACGATGAGGGTGCAGACATGAGTAACAGACAAGCTAACACTTCTGATATGCTAAACACTACTGTACTGCTTGTACACATTCCTCATGGCCAAATTCTTTACTTTACTCAAATTAGCACTCCCAAATATAAATATTTCACCATGAGTTTACTTATTGGAATCAGGCTCAGTGGATAGAGACAGGGAATAAAGTCTTGAGAGGCAAATATTTCTCTGAACTCCATTTTTCCACATTTAAACTAAAGTCAAATTCTCTCCAGGTCTGTTTTCTTACAGACAAAATGGATGACCTGTGTCCTGTTGGTTAGAAACACTTCAGGTCCATTTAGTCTAGGATTTAGGGGATCCTGCCTCCACTGTTTGACCGAACCTTATTGACGACGTCACCAAAGGTGAGGTTGGTGAGGCCCATCCCAGCGTAGCGGCGCAGAGCCATGTTGATGGGGTCGTTCTGCATGCCATACATTTCCTGCTCGAGGTGGATGAGATCTGCCACCACCTGAAGACAACCTGGTGAAGAACAACTTGCTCTGAACTCAAAACTCACAACAATTTACACTGTCAAGCTAGCTTAGTGCTAGAATAAGTCCTCTATTCTCTCCCAGATGCTAAGAATTAGAAAGTAAGGCACAAACCTAATTCATTCATGGCGCGTCTGTACTCTTCTTCAAAGGACATCTTCATGATGGCACACATGGCCTGACAGATCTGAGGGTCCACAGGTTCAGGAATATCTGCACATCATAGAAAAAGTTAAAGGAGGTCAGCTTAAACCAAATCAAAGCTTTGTGGGATCAATAAGGGAGTGTGCTCTAATCAGAGTACTTTCTGTAACAAGTCCTATTAGTCTACCTGGAGCATCTGATGCCACTAACTTGTGGTTCTTGTGAGTATTTTAGGCTCACCAGACGTTTTGGTGCCTCCAGGTGAAGGCGTCACGGCATGACTCTCGAGCCAGTCCCAGCCGCTGTCGCAGTAGGTCCGGATCTGCTCCAGCATGTGCAGGACCTTCATCTCCCGGTGGGCCTGGCCTTCGTCCTGCTGTGAGAAGATGATGTTGTGCAGGGCGGCGCTCGCTCTGGATTTGGTGTCTCGGTTGCAGCCGGTTGAGGCGGTGCCGCCTGCCGTCTCGCCGGGAACTCCATCAGGAACTCCACCGGGAACTTCATGCAAGATCTGAACCAGCAATGGGACACAGCCGGACTTCCTCATGGCGATGCAGCTGTCCTGAGAGCTGGACAGGGCCAGGAGAGTCCGGGACATCTCGTCCTTGTCCCTGTTCGCCAGCATGGAGAGCAGCCAGAACACCATCTCCACCTGAGGAGGAAACATGAACAAAGTTAAAGCTGGAGACACAGAGAAACGGGCCGGTGACTGTAATCAGGTGCTTTACAGAGTTTGCTGATTTGGTCTGCATCAGAGTTCGATTACGCATTCACACCTCCCCAAACGAACCGGACTTTCTAGACAAACAGAGTTTGATTTGATTAACTAAACAACTGCTGAGTTTGTTGCTGCTTCTTGACCAGGACTACCTTGAAAAAGAGGCGTTTAATCTCAAATACATTTTATTCTGGTAAAATAAAGGTTAAGTAAAATAAAATTAGATTTGTGGTTGCCATGGAGATTAAAGGATTTATCAAACATCCATGAGAGAATCAAAGCAACACTCCATGTATGTTTCTGATGATGGAATAACATTATAACTTGATGGAAAGCTAAAAAGAAGTAGATTTTAAAGATCTTTTCTATTAATCAACAAAGCCAACAAGACACTTTATTCTAAAGATATTTGTGTGCCTGGTTAAATGTTGAGGTAATATGAGTTGATAATAACCTTGTTGGTGTGTATATGTTCAGTATTTCTGACTCTTTAATGTTGGAAACCCTGAATGTGAGTGAGGAATTGTTACCTTGCTGCCTCCGTCTGCAGCTTCAGCTCCTGCGACTGCAGCCGATGAAGAGCCGCTGTTCTCCGGTTCTCCAGCAGGGGGCTTCTCCGCTCCAGACAGCTGCACATGAAAAGGGAAGAAGAAAGCATGAGAAAATCTCTGACCCAGTTTCACTGCTTTCACAGCTCTACTTGTAAGAGGTTTAGAGGTTTTACTGAAACTGTCGCTGCTGTGGCTCCACAGACTGCAGGGCTTTATTAAAAAGAAAGGTAATGGTGCAGAAAACCAAACAAACTCGAAACAGGTAAATACACTAATTCCAGTTTGAATGTGTCTTTTTGTGAATCTGACAGCTCAAATCTGCAGATTAATGCGGCCTGGAAATACCCAGTTTCTACGTATTTGTGTCTGGGTTTGTAAGAGAACAGAAAACATGTTGTAAAATGTTTGTTTTACCACCTGCATACTAATCCTGCTACAGATTTTTGAGATCTTTGTGTGAATCTGATTCACATCCAGACATTTAGGCCCGTGTGCCAAAAACCGCATTCCTTCAGGTCCATAGAGCAGCTCCAGACGGGAATAAAACACAACTTCATTTGGATTCACAGCCTGACATCCTCAAGAGATTTATATCAAAGCCTTCACCCTCCCGTCTTCTCTGCATCCCGTCACCATGGCAACGCCTCCGGCTGTGAACCATGTGTAAAGCAAGAGCTGCCGATGAACAAAGAGCAGAGCTGTTTGTGTGTTCTCCTCCTGTTTAACAAAGGAAACCTCGATGTTTGACGTTGAATCCGCCGTGGCTCCGATCCAAACGGGCCCCATTAGAATACGGGCTGCAGCAGCAGGAAGCAGCAAGGAGCCGACAAATTGGAGGCCGGCAAGCGGTGCTGCTGCCCCGACCGGCTCCATCTGCCTGTCCGTCTGTCTGTGACAGAAGATGGAGATAAACTGAAATTTTCTCCATGCTGAAGTTTACCGTTACGTTTTGAAAGCGAAACCAGGCAGAACGCCGATCGCTGGTCCACCGCCTCGGTCTTAAAGGGGCAGTAACGTGTAAAATCTACTTCTTTTATCTTTCCATCATGTTTAATGTTATTCCTTCATCAAAAACAAGCTTTGACTCATTCATGAATGTTTGAGAAACCTAGCTCCGCCTTCGAATCGCAGCTCCTCCTCCACTCAGCTCCTTCAGACTAGCCAGCAGAAATTAGCAAACACCTGGTGGAACTGCGGAGCTCATTATAGGAGCTGCTGCTCCTATAATGAGCTGCTGGTAGAAACGTTGTTAAAGGGTTAACAGAGGAGCCATTTGAGATGACTTCCTGGAGGCGGAGCTTCAGAAAGAGCAGGAGATTTTAAAGAGACAGAGGCCCGATTTCAAGGAGTTTAATTAGGAAGTTACATTTCTTTAAGTCATATTTGCTAGAGCATTTGATAATAATTTAAGGTTACTTTATTTGCTATAAAATGGCACTATGCGCCTGGAAAACTCAAAATATCGCCCCTTTACTACTAGACTTGTAAATAAATGACGAGATCTTTCAATTTTAAAATGTAATGTAAAAAGCAGATCTGTTGCTTAACTACTTTGACCAAGAAGAACATATTTCTAAGCAGTTCTGTTTGGGCCACTCCTTTCAAACCATCAGAAAATCAAATAAACAGATTTTTTAATTGCCCATTTTGACAGCAACCATCCTCCATATGCATATTATTTTTTAGCAACGTATCATTACTTTTATTGGGTTGCTGCTTGCTGCTGAAAAGGCATGAACCTCTAGGATTTTTAATATCTACAAAAAAAATTTAATGAAGAAATTTGGGAGCAGAAAGAGATTAAATTGGACGCAACACCGTTTGCATCATTTTAACTGTAAAACAGGAAACAAAGTTTCTAATTAACAACTGTTTAAAAAAACAGTCCTAATTAGTTCCAATGTCTTAGACATTAGAACAGATTCAGACCTTAATGATTTTCATCTAGAATGTGGAACTGAAACCATGCTGAAAATCAGGAAATGCTGCATATCTGCTTCTAAAAAAACATGTTTCACATGTAAGAAATAACTGACTGGAGTTATTGTTTTCTTTCTGAAATTGATCAGATTTCTCCGTATGATTTGGGGGCCGAAGGGGCCGTCCTACTGAAACTGCCCGGGGCCCTTCAGAAGTTAAGCCCGGCCCTGATCCAAACATATGTTGGATTTTCCTTCTTTTCAAAGCAGAAACCAGAACTGCTGCTTCCTGTAGCCAATCATGTCCTCCGGTGAGTGAAATATGGAGTCAAACAGGTCGGACGGCAGCGGGATGAGCTGAGTGACAGAGAGTTTCTGAGGGAGACGCTGGTTCCTTTCTGAGGTCGGATCTGTTGTTGTTTGGGTTTTTAAATGAAGGATGAGGGGAAAATGCGACTGAGGCAGCGGTGAGTATGTGATGATCTCCTAATGTAGATTAAATTTACCTCTGAACAAGCCTGAACAAGATCGGAGGTTTATGGAAAACCCTGAACACACCTTCTGCTGCCAGCTTCCCAGTTTCATTATGTCATGGGTTTTTTTAGTTTCATGGTGTTATGCTGGTAGAATGGGTTATTAAAGTTACGTCACGCTGTGCTATGATCAGCAACATTTTAGACTTTATACAGTACAAGGTGATTTAAAAAATAGACATACTTGATCTGTTTGGTTATTTCTGATGAAGTATTTACAGCAGTGGTGTCCAAACTAATTCAATTTGAAAGAACTCCAGGAGCAACAACATTTTTAGCATTTTTTTCATAGTTATAAGCAAAAATTATTTTATATTTATCTGCTAAATAGACAATAAACAATTTAGTCCAAGTTTGAAGAGACTTAAGTGTGACATTTTTAAACAAGCGCTAATTAAAGATGGAGGGCAACATCAGCTCCATATTATTATATATATGATCCATGTATCCTTAGATTACAGTAATCCAATTGTTTTATTTCCTTTTAACTCTTCTTTCCTTTTAAAGTCTGTTTGGCTGTGAACACAACAGTTTGACCTCAGTCACATGAAATAAGTCTAGATTTTGCTATAATTGTTTTTTATCTTGGGATTTGGTTTTTAGTATGATTTGTCAAAAACAAATACTAATATAAATAGATATTTATGAAAAACATGAGAAAAATCATTAAGCGGAGAAGGAAAATTATTCAACAATTACATTGGAAATAAAAGATAAAAAGAAGTAATATTGACAAATATTCCTTTATGTCACATTGTATAATTAAAGTTGGGAAAAGTTTCTATTTTCAACATGAACTGAAAATAGATATTGCATGTCAACCATTTTTCCTGAGAAATGTTTCTTTAAAGAAAAACGTACGAGTCGTGGGTGACCATTCAAAGCTAGTTGTTAGCCTATCTGTGCTAATGTTTAGCAGAGAAAGTAAGAAGGTGATTAGCCTATCCAAAGCTAACGCAGCGCTGTTTTAAACATGCCAGGCCTTTAGGGGGCAGTGCAGCACAAAGCTAAAACCTCTGACAGCCAATCAGAACGCTTAAAATCAACCATGTCTTCCTGTTTGGAATTAAATGTTCATTTGACTGGAAAGATGTATAGGTTGAACTAATTTTAAATAGAATATAAAGTTAATAAAACACCAGATGATGTTGATTGGGAATCAAGTCAAAGCAAGTAGGTGGAAGGATTAGCGCATTATCTGTTGCAGACTATAATCCGCGGGACTTTAAATCTCTATTTTTACAAACACAAAGAGAAATATAGAGTTCTCTCAAAACTTTGGCTGGAGTTTTTATAAATAATCAAAACTTAAAAGTACATTTTCAGCAGGAAGGAGCTTGTTTTAAGTCAATAATTCCTTAATATTAATGAAAAAGTTCTAGTTCGACTGGCAGATTATTTCACTCATAACATGGAAAAATGTCTGTTAAATAATCTGCCAATGGGAAAAGTATTCTTTTTTAAAAATCAATATAAATAAATTATTGACTTAAAACAAGCTCCTACTTCCTGCTGAAAATGTGCTTGTAAGTCAGTTTTGTCTCATTTCAAGTGTACGAAGATATTTGCACTAGAAACTAGACCAAAAATACTTGGTAAGATTTTCTGTTTTTGCAGTGTGTATCAGGATGCTTTAACTTAATTACTGGAATACTTAATGCTAATATTCCAGTAAAATAGCATCTTTCAACTTGTAATCACTATTAATCACTGATTCCACATATTTCCTGTTAGATAGGGCTCCATGCTGACTGCAGATTTCAAGGCACATCAGAACATGTTGGAAATCAGAACAGTAAAGCACTGAAGCAGATTGAGGAAAATGAGTGTTCCTAAAGACCCGCCGGCGGTGAAGCGGCCTGAAGCCCAGGAGGATGACGACATCGAGTCAGAGGAGCCGAAAGGCAAAGACGAGCAGGGAAAGGATTTCCCGAAAACGACTCAAACAGCAAAACCAGCGTTCAACCCTCTGACTCTCATCAAAGACGACTTCAACCAATTTAAAGAGGAAATGAAGAAAATGTTCAGGGACAAAGACTCGGATCCCAAACCGAGCCAATCAGCGGAGAAGAGTAGCAGCCCTCTGACTGTCCTGAAAGAGGAACTCTCCAACGTTTTCCGGTTTGGTCCTTCAAGAGGTCGAGAGGACAAGAACGTGGAAAAGAAGGAAGACTCCAGGAACAACCCCAGGACAAAAGCCTCAAGAGCAGAGAGACCAGATGAAACGCTGACGAGTCTGTTCTGGAGGGAGAAACCTCTCCTGAAGACGGCTCAAACAAATCACACGAAGGAGGTTAAAAAGAGCAAAGAAGACTTCGAAATAAATCCAACAAAACAAAACAAAGAAACTGAAAACACACAGGAATCTAACGACCCGATAAACTGCCTGGATAAATCCAGTCAGGTGACTGGTTGTGGTTCAGAGAAGAGAACCGAGAAGACAAAGACTCCAAAACCACAGAGTGAGAAGCTGTTTGCATCAACAGCAGGTACGGCTCTGAATCTATCAGCCAAACATAAGATCATCAACTCTGCTGTATTATCTCTGTAAAAACAACAGAC